CGGCTGCTTCCCGGGGAGTGGGGGCCAGCGCGGCGCCCCTTGTAGCTGCTGCCCGGGCCATCAAAGACGGAGGGATCGTCGCCCTGCATGGCTTCATCCTCGAAGTCGTAGCTCTCCTCCTCCTGGCTGCTGCTGCTGCCCCCTCCCTGCCTGTAGGTCCGCTCGTGCCGGCTGACGCGGGAGATCCGGGACCGCCAGTGGTGCCCCCCGATGCTCTCGCTGCTGCTACTGCTGCTGCTGTCACCACGCCCTCTGCCAGCCCCAGCATCCCCACGGCCAGCATCGTGGCCATGTTCGCCTGCACCAGCTGCATAAGTAGGACCTTCGCCCCCCTCCTCTTCCCCGTTGTCATCGAAGGTGTCATCCCCACTGTCATCCTCCTCATCCAAGAGCCCGCCAGTGTGGGAGGGAGGCCCATTGACTCTGGGGCCGTGGTGCTCTCTGTTGTCACCATCATCAGCATCACGTGCATCCTCCTCCTGTGGAGAGGACAAATGGAGATAAATGCAAAGGCTTGCAGGTCACAGGTGCTATCCGCACTGCTCGCCACGCAGGCCAAGCGCTACACTGGCCAACACCAGATTTTGGCTAAGTGAGCTTTCCCAGAAGAGCAAAACACGCCTCTCCACTCACTCACCAGAAAAGCAAGGCTATTCCCATCCTGGGCACTTGGATCCTCGTGGTCCACCCGGTTCAGGTGCTGAGCCTCCCCAACTCTGCCTCCCTTGTCTTGGCCACCATCCTTGCTCAGCTCCTCGCCCACGGCGTTCCCACCCGCCGGGTCCCTGGCAAGGGCATTGTCCCCCCTCTCTGCATTGGCAGGAGGATGTCTGCCATCTCCACCACCCAGGAGGTTGCCCAGATTGTTGATGTAATCTTCACTTGCTGTGTCCTAGGGGCAAAACATGACACAGGGCTTCGGTTTGTTAAACACCACCGCATGTTTACTGCTACTGCTGCGGGATGATGTATCGCTCCTCAACCATGCACGTGCTCAAGCCTTTTTCATTGCTCACACTTCAGCCCTTCAGTTGTTTCTGCCAATGCAAAAGTAGCCACCAACAAAAGGGCAATGCAGAAAAGCCCGAAGTGTGTTCGTTCAGAGCTCAGCAGCTCCTTTTTCAGGACCAACACAGCAGAAAGCACACAGTGAATTGGGAACGTGCAGAGGGAGGCAGGGTGAAATAAGGTGGAAACAACCCAGCCTGAAAAGACCAAGCAGATGAACAAAGCTCAAAGACCTGCAGAAGCAGCAGCTCTTCCCCCCAGGTGCCTGCCCAGGGCTGGCTCCCCATCCAAGACTTGCTCTGCGGGCGGCTGACACCTATGGGACTGGGGCATACGCCCCCCCCCCCCCGCTTACCTCCTGCTGGGTGCTGCGGCGGGGGCGGGAGGGCTCAGGGCCAGGCACCTAAACAGGAGACATTTAATCAGTGATGGGTGGGCCTTGACTGGGTGAAGCTGCTGGGGTTTGGGGTTTGAGTACCTGCCCAGTGGGTACTTACGGGATAAGCACAGGCTACAGCCCAGAGGAGCAGCACCAGGAACGCAGCCCTCATGTCGGTTGTGGTCCCTGTGGCTGCAACAGGGAGCAAAGCATTTGCACGTGCCCCTGGATGTAACCTAGCCCCACAAAGCCCTTCCAACTGGTACAGCCTTGCTGTTCCGGCACGTGGTGATCAGCCTGGCATGTCATCAAACAAGCCAAGGATTTGTCCTTGTGCCACCTCTTGGCAACTCCTCTGCAGGAACTTCCCTTTCGTTTGGGTTTTGAAATACCTGACTGTGTTCTTGCATATTTATTTTATCTAAGCATCAATAGAGCGGGAAAGCTCCTGTGAATTCCCTGTTCCCACGGTAATGTCACCCACTGCCCAGCCGATCTGGGTGGCTGTGGCAAGGGCCAGCACTGAAGATGAGCTGTGTGTGAGACATGGGATGCAGTGCTGTGCCTCCCACCCGGCATGGTCCCACAGCCCCGTAAAACCTCCTGCTGCTCTGAAGCCACCCAGTAAGGCAGCCCCGCAGAGAGCTGCATCCCCAGTGCCCACTGAGTCGGTCTGGCATCCCAGTGGTGCTGCTGCCTGCGCAGGCAGGTAAAGCACCGGGGGGCTTTCCCTCAGTTCTGCTCTCATTTTCCAAGTCCCTTAAGCAGGACAGCAGCACATCCCCACAGGGCACACTAACCGCACTGCACATCTCCCTGTACCCGAAACATGCTGGAGCAAAGAGCTATGCCCTCGATTCCTTCCCTTACAAAGCAACACCTACATCCCAGCTCACAAGTCTCTCCTGCTTTCTACCCAAACTCACAAGGAAATCTACAACCCCTGTCCTCAAACACCACTTTTACTCCAGGCAATACCAAAGCAACCAAAACCTTTACCTTGAGGTGTGGCACAAGCCGGTGTCTCCTCCGGTGCTGGGATGGGGTGAGCTGGCAGCCTGTGTTGGGATGCCCTGGGCTGTGTGCCCCAGCGTGGCCGTGC